CTAAAATACTTAGTCTATTAAATTTATGCATTAAAAAACCTTTTCAATTTTTGTTTCAACATTTTTATATATTTTTTATTTATTTAATATGTTCAAAAGTTAAATATTTCTCATAAAAAATTCATAGTTATTTAAATAAAATAAAAAAAACATTTTATAAATACTTTTTTTAAAATAAATTAGAAGTGTTTTTTTTTTACTTCATTAAAAGCGTTTCGATAATATAAAAGCATTTAAGATCAAACTTATTAAATTGTAACGGTTTTCTAAAACTTTTTTTTTAAAGAAATTTTGTTTATCTTTTTAAATGCATTAACTTTAATCATTCTTATATTTAAATTCGTTAAAGAGACTTTCGTAGTCGTAGAATGTCATCGTTTATTAAAACAAAACAATTTTTTATTTTTTAATGAGGTTTATTTTAGAAATGAACACTTAAAAAATTTATGTTTTAAATTTAAAAAAATATATACAACTGTCAATTAAATTTGAAAAACAAAACTTTTTTTCAGTAAATTGTTACTTTATTTAAAATCGTTTCGCTAATATAAAAACATTTGTTAAGAAGTTTTGATGTATTTAATTTCACTTTTTTAGAATATTTTTTATTTAGCGCGTTTCTAAAATGTTTTTTGAATTAGCTGTGGTCAAACCGTCATAGCAAAACGTAACTTGTGTGGTCATATAAAGACGCGAAATTGCACGTCTTCCTGTGAAAGCCTGCATTGAAAGTTGTATAACTTTTTATTTATAGTATTTAATTATATAAGATTTTTTTATAAGTAAAAATAAAAAAAAATCAAAATTAAAAAAATAATAATTAAATTTAATAAGCGACAACTTTAAACAGCTAAGGTCCCTTTAATAAACTCTATATAAGAATCATTACAGTTTTTGCTAAGGAGAAAAAAAGGAGACAAACTTTTTTGAAAGCTGTTTGAATTAATATATATTTATGAATTAATATATATTTATGAATTAATATATATATATATATATATATATATATATATATATATATATATATATAATATATATATATATATATATATATATATATATATATATATATTTATAATATATATTATGAATTAATATATATATATATATATATATATATATATATATAATATATATATATATATATATATATATATATATATATATATATATGTATATATATATATATATATATATATATATAAATATATATATATATATATATATATATATATATATATATAAGAGATACCCTATTGCTAACACAAGTTATGTTTATTTTGTAAATAAAAAAAGAAATAAGTTTTGAGTTTATTAAAGTTACTAAAACAAATTATTTATTGAGATGTTAACAAAAAAACATTTGTGGTTTTGCCATTATTTTTGCGGTTGAGAGGTAATTATAAACTTCATGAATCGGCATAGTTTTTTTCTGTTGTAAAAAAATCTGGTTTGAATAATGTAGTTACTCCAAAAATGAAAACTTACTACAAATAATGTACTTACTGCAGAGTTTTTTAGGCAATTTGCAGATTAGAATGGGTCTTTCCCTTTTATAAGAAAAATATGAAATTTTTTATTTCTATTAAGATATTTTGTTTCAAGATTTTATTAGCAGGTCTTGTTTGAAACAAATATCAGGATATTTTTAAAATTTATTATTTATAGTAGTGGTAAACCGGAATTCCGGACATAATTTGTGATTTTTGATTTATTCCAGTTCCTGTCAATTACAACAATTTTGAGCCAGAATGCTGAAATTAATTTTTAAAGACATAACACAACCTGTTTAAATTAAATTAAAAAAACCATTGTCCTACAGGGAATAAAGAATTACAAGATAAACCTAAGAAAAAAATAAAATTTTCAAAAAAACAAAATGTAATTTTATTTGCAATAATCAATTATTTAAGGATTTCTTGAAATTTAGGAATCTTATGGTGCAAATATGAATTGTTCTATCCTTGAGGTCGCAATCACGTCAAAAAAAATTAGTAACCATCTTTGTAGGGGAAAAACATTAAATAAAATGAGCGAAAACATTGAATAAAATGAGCGTTTTGCTGATTGTTTTAATTTTAAAGCCAGGTTAAGGCATTGAACAAAACGCTTTAATAACGCGTTCTGTTCAATGTTTTCCCCCTACAAAGATGGTAACTTATTTTATGATGCGATCGCGACCTCAAGGATAGTTTTTTTTGGCAACAATCAAGCTCTTTTTTCATCAAAAAATGTTATCAGCCTCTAAGAAAAGTCTCTCTAAATAGACAGATGAAGCAGAGGTAGATAAAAATTTTCTTGCTAAACAGCATATATGAGTAAAATCTTATCTTGTTAAAACACCATGGGTTGGTAATAAAGAAACTAAAATTTTGGAATCTAACTCTTTGTGTATTTTTTAAAATTTGGTGCAAGCCAAACTTGAATGGTTAAAATGGGTGCACATGTTTCTGCATTTCTTTATCAAGTCATATACTGCAACCTAATTTAAAAGAGCATCTTTAATAACTAGCTGCAGTTGGTGAATAAAACATGAGATTGATTCATCAACTGCAGCTAGTTATTTTAACTAGCATTGAATCAAACCAATTTGAAACATTTATTGTTGTGAGGGACCCTTTAAAATGCTCACAGTTTAGAAAACAATCTTTTTTAATAAAAATATTTGTGCACAAGGCCGGCGCAATGGGGAGAGGGGTGACACCCCTCATCAATGATTTTTTCGTTCATTTAGTCAGCAAATTTGAACCTTTTTGACTAGTTAGTTGGCAAATGTAGACCTTTTAGACAAGTTAGTTGGTAAATTTAGGCAGTCAGTCGGTAAATGTCATTATGGCAGTCGGAGGCTTATAGGCTTACAGCCCTATCTGTGCATAAAATTATCCAATGTGCAGTCAATGATATAAATGTATCATTACAATAGGTATTTGCCGCAATACCTGTTGCAAATGAAATATAATCAGCAGCAGAAATGTCATTAAATACTACGGTTTTTAATTTTTCATATGATAATGGTAGCACTTTCTACTTGAAATTAGGTATTGTGGTTGCAAGTGAGCAATTAATTTAATGAACCCCTGATTTTCAAATACAGAAAAAGGTTGCTTGTCCATCTCAATAAAACTTACTATTCTTTAATTAATTTGAAGAAGTCTTTTATATTTTTAGTAATAAACATTTTTAGTAACAAAATCACTTTAGTTTGTGTCTGCAACTTAATATTTTTCACTCTTGTGGTGTCTAAGCTTGTGATTTTATTTTTCCTTTACTGTTCTTCTTGTTTAGCTTCATCAAATGTATTTAAATGATATATTTTTTAAATGCATATGGAGTGGTGTTGCAATAAAAGTTTTTTGGGGTGCTATGACGATTAACATTTTTGTGGTATAATTTATATTTTACAAATGTATCTGTGACATCATTTGTTTTAAAATATCTCTAAACAAATGAGAAAAATGAAGACATTTTTAGGATTTTAAATAGTTGAAAAATATGGATACCTATAACAGCAAATATTTTTATTTTAACCTTAATGGAAAAATAGAATTAATTTTGAATATAAATGTTATGCAGTTAAAAACTTACAATACATAAAATTATAAAAACAATTAAAAACAACATATTTAAATAAAACAAGAATCTAATTAATGAAATAGGTTAATTATTTCTTTAAAAAAATATCAAAGAGCCGGAACTTAACTGGGAAAAAAAAGGTGTTTTTTTAAAGATATGAACACAACTTGTTTTGGTACTTGGGGATCCCATTAAAGAATAGACCAATAATAAATTAGTAAAAACACTTATAAAATTTTTCTTTTACAGTCTGTTTCTCTTTCTTTGGGTTCATCTTTTTAAAACTGTTTTAAAAAAAATTAGATAAGTGTTTTTTTACTTATATGTGTATTAATATATATATATATATATATATATATATATATATATATATATATATATATATGTATATATATATATATACATATATATATATATATATATATGTATATATATACATACATATATATATATATATATATATATATATATATATATATATATATATATATATATATGTATATATATATATATATATATATATATATATATGTATATATATATATATATATCCAACCCTCAGAATTAGAGTCAGCATTTGGCATGCTGACCTAAAAGTGTTTGAGATCGGCAAAAAATTATATATATATATATATATATATCTTTTTATCCAAACCTTTGAGTAGTGAGCCTTGTATGAAATATCAGTGATAACGCCATACTGAAATAGTATAGCCATAAATAATAGCCATCTGTGGAGGCTTCAGTATATAAATCAATTGAAGGCTTGGACGGGTAATATTTAGATATGAAGGATTTTTACTATAGCAAAAATCTTTTTTTATTATTCTTCAGTTTTTCTTTCTTTATTTGTCTAAAAATCTCTGAATTTAGATCATTGCCCACTGAAGTGTGTGTGCATGCTTCATAAAATTGTTATGAGAAAAAGATGTATTTTTTATCAACTGTTGTAAATGGTCTTTAAGAACTTTCATTTTATTATGGTTTTAGACAATGACAACTTTATTCTCCAAATATTATATTTGAACATCTTTATTGTTAGCTATCCTAATTCATTAAAAATTTAAAAAAACCAAAAACAATTATTATCTTATTTAACTATCTTCAAATGTTTACATATATAACAATAACAAATATGATATTATTTTTTATGCATTAAATGGTGTATAAAAATGATATTATATAAACTGACATAAAAAAACAAAACAATAATAAAAAAATAAAAAAAATCAAACTTAATTACTATAACGTTTTTCCTATACTTACAAACATATATTGGTTTTAAATCTTGGATTCAAAAAAAAAAAAAACAGTTTAAAAATTTATGTTTAAAAAAACGTATGAAATTGGTTTATGGAACTTATGTTGGTAGTTTAAATTACAATACGTCGAATCGCAAATACATAATTTTTTCAATCATACTTTTATGTCATCGGAAATTATATATTCTTGGGTTTAAAAAAGCTGTTTTCATACTATTTTAAAATAGTTGCAGGCTATTTTTTTAAGGGTAATTAGATAAATTTTACAAATGGTTATGAATAATTTCGAAACATTTAATTGAATAATTATTATGAAAAAGCTTTTATCAAAACAAGCTGCTATAAAAATACCACAGGATTTGACGCAGACATCCCAGAACCTTCCCGTGCAGCTTCCAACTTCAAATGATGCGATATTTATACTCTCGTGAATCAACAAATCTATATCCATCTTGAGATACCCCGCAGAGAAGTTCCAATTTTGGAAGTTTAATGTGGTCACACGTTTTATAGTAAACATGTATTAATATATACTTTATGTGGCCTTGAAAGATCGTTCGTAAATCTTTAATCACATGATTTAAAAAATCTATGGTTTAATTTTAACTATAAAATTTAGCACAGAATTGCCCATGACAACAAACATCGGTTTAGAAATAGACACTTACCGATTAGTGCACCGGTTGTCCCTTACCGCATAATATTTTAGGAATTTTCAGCTACCTTTATGTCTATAGAGTGCGATTTTAAGGCATTGTCACGATATTTTCACTATTTAGCGGGATGAAGAAAAATTGTTTTTAAATCGTATTTTTGTTTCATAAAAAAAAAAAATTTATCTGATGTTCATTTTTAATATTGAGTAAATTACTTGGTATAACAAATACTTAATAATATCTCTGACGTAATAATAATAATAGCAATAATAATAACAATAATATTAGCAATAATAATAATAATAATAAGTCTGATGAACAAAAATTGCATAGGATATCAACTTAATAGGATATTTATTTATGATATTTACTTTATATTATTTATGATATTTACTTAATAATCAAAGCCAGATTAAGGAACCTTGTTTCCAGACCTGGTCTCCAAGTCACGTTTGTGACAATTGATTTTAACATAAATTTAATATATGATTTTTTTCTAATATAGTTAAAATCAGTTTTGTATTTTAATTTAGGCACAGTTCTATGAAAACAATTGAATCTAACTTTTCTATTTTTCTTCTTCCTTAAATTGAATCAATAAAGGTGCAATTTAGATAAAGATAAGTTTTATAAATTTACAAAAAAATCATGTGTAACTTTTAATAACAAAAATTATATTGTTTAAACTTGAAATAATATATATTTTTTGATTTGTAAATATAGTTTTTATGCCTAATTATAACAAATTATATGAACCATATTCTTTCAAATTGTGCTTAAACTACTTATTTATACATCATAGTTATATGAGACATAGAGATGATTCTGTTAATTCCTGAAAACGGTTTTATACTAATTTTATTTATTATAAAATATTGATGTTATTGTTTTCTCTGGTTTATTGGTAAAAAAATTTAATTTTTTTAATTACCAATTTTAGTAAGACCTAATGGTAATTCACTTATTACTCAACAAGTTGAAGAATTGTTTTGAAAAACTTTCTGAGAGTTAAAAATGAGACTTCACCAAGTTCTTACTGGTGCAGCAAATGTGATAGAAGATTCTGTAGCTATTTCTCACGGAAATGTTAATGGCTACCCTTTTACAGTAAGCTTTTTATGAAAGTTAATATATAAAGCACTCAGAATTAGAGTCAGCATTTGGTAATGTTTGGTAAAAATTGATGACCTTGTTTCTATGTTTTACGGTGACCTTTGTATCAAATTTTTTTTGCTGACCTGATGCTAACCTCTAAAAGATTGAGGTTGGCAAATTATTACCAACCTCATTTTTCCTAATTCGGAGGGTTATATATATATATATATATATATATATATATATATATATATATATATATATATATATATATATATATATATATATATATATATATGTATATATATATATATATATATATATATATATATATATATATATATATATATATATATATATATATATATATATATTTATATATAATTTTTGATAGCGTTGACTATATTTGGGCACCGCCCAAATTCGAAATTTAGGACTTTTTTTCTCTAACAGCAAATATTGTTTGTTTTTTTCCCAAAAAAATGTCTACATTTGGCAATTTTTTGGGCAAACTTCACTGAAAAGAGGGGAACGCCGCTCAAATTATTTTCCTAGAATAGCCCCTGATATATATATATATATATATATATATATATATATATATATATATATATATATATATATATATATATATATATCAGGCTTGGTCGGGAAGCGGGTGCAATCGCACTCGGTAACTGACCACAGAAATAATATTTAGAACATTTATATTTATGTATGTTTCCTTAATTAAGTTCATTATTTTAAAGTAAATTTTGAAATATTTATAAATTATTTATAAATTAAAGTTGTAAAAGAGCAACGTTTCAAAAATATTTGCTCTAATCGTATTTATTTAATTTAAAGTTTTTCGCGTTAAAAGCTATTTTTCTTTTTTTAACTGTCTCTCATCAGTCCAGTTAATCTTTTTGCGCTTTTTTGTTTGTTTTTGAAATGATCTTGACTAAAAAATCTAAAAACAACTAAAAAATCTGGCCAGTTTTTTGCAACTAAATATTATTTCCGTGGTCAATTATCGAGTGCGATCGCACCCGCTTTCTGACCAAGCCTGATGTATATATATATATATATATATATATATATATATATATATATATATATATATATATATATATATATATATATATATTATATATATGTATATGTATATATATATATATATATATATATATATATATATATTATATATATGTATATGTATATATATATATATATATATATATATATATATATATATATATATATATATATATATATATATATATATATATATATATATATGTATATGTATATATATATATATATATATATATATATATATATATATATATATATATATATATATATATATATATATATATATATATATGCAGCTCTTGGCATGAAGAAAATTGTCCAGCGCGATGTTTAGCGACCGTTAAACTAAGAAAATATTTTAGCAAGCGCAATTATGTGCTATCCTAGGAAAGGCATGCCATTTTTTTCTCGAATGACCACACGAAGTTATAATATTTTAGAAGACGTGAACACGGCCGTTTGCAAGTTTTATAATAATGCTGAAAAGTTTCAAAAACAAAAAAACAAAACTAACAAAATAAAAAGAGATTGAAATAGAAAAAAGTAAAAACAAATTAGTAATTTAATTAACTTGTGTACTGTTTTTATTTTTGCTTCTTTAGAGTTTCAGCAACAAAATTAGATAAGGTGAAGCAAAAAAAAAACAGTTTGAAGTTTACAATAAAAAAAATGATTTTCCTTTTCTTAATTTTTTTTTAAGAGGATAGCAAAAATACAAATTGCAATGTGTTTGTAAAATTTATTTGTATAATTTTAATGTAACAACAAGGGTTGAATTATGCAAATGCAAAATGCGAAATTTGGAAAAATATCTAGTATTCAAAATTTTAGTTTATACAAAACCGTGTTCTTTGTTTTTAAGGGGAGAATCAACTTAAATTTGTTAGCAAAAAAATAAAACAAAAAACTTATAATTACAAAAGTAATAACGCTCTAGTCACTAACTGCATTACAAAAGTAATAACACTATAATAGTGTTATTACTTTTATAACGCACTTATAACTTTTAAAATTGATTCTTTGTTCAAGCAACATTAGTATTCCCAAATTTTATTTGAAGTAGAAAAATATCTGGAAGAATAAAGTGGATGTTCAAATAATATTAAAACTAAAGTAACTTATAAAAACGTGACAAACAACTTTATGAAAACGTATCGTATTAAAAGTTTAGCATTATGAAAAACATTACTAATGGACCGTAAAAACACGGGTTAATTTTAAAATTAACCAATAAAATTTTTTTATTGGTTGATTTTAAAATTAACGCGCATTTTTACATTATGTTTTTCATAATGCTATACTTTTTATAAAGTACTCTTTTATAACGTTGTTTAAGTGATCTGTGAAAGTTCCTGAAATTTTTATTAATATTTGAATATCCGCTTTATTTTTTCTAGATGCTTTTCTACTTTAATAAATGTTTGGATTTAATAATGTTGTTTGAACAAAGAATGAACTTTAAAAGTAATAAGTGCTTTATAAATGTAATAACACTATTATAGTTTTATTACTTTTATAATGCAGTTAGTGACTAAAGTGTTATTACTTTTATAGTCATAAGATTATTGTTTTTGTTTTGTTATTTGTAACTTTCTTGTTAGTAAACTTTTAATAATTTGCTCGTTATAAACAAAGTACACAGCCAGGGGCTATTTTAGGAAAATAATTTGGGCGGCGGTACCCCTCTGCCTCACTCCCCACTCTTAAAATTTAAGTAATGGGGGGGGGGGGGCGAAACATGTTTAGAAAATTTCAAAATTTTTGTTTTTAGATAAACAAAAATTTAGTTAGTTTTTAGCTTTATTATTATGTTTAAATGTATTTGAAATAATTCACTATAATTCATTCCTGTTAAAATGATCTGTTACATAAATTTTATAAGGAAGTTGCTACCTAAAAATAAATATTGCACAGAAGTTTCACTGAAATAAAAATAAATTAACAAATAGCCAAATTACCTTAAATTTACTAGATTGCAAATGTTTATGGGGAAAAAAACCCACATATTTACTGCAACAAACTTACTAATCTCATTGAGTCCATAACTTATATGTATAACTTCCATGTATAAAATAATTATTGTATGAAACTGCTGTTGATGTAGTTAATAAAAAAAAATCTTTAAAATAATTATTGCCATATTTTTGCCAAAAATTAAAACAAATAAATATAAGCTAAATAAAAAAACATTACTACTTTAATCAACCTAAATGCGTTTACTAATGTACGAACTTTAAAAACAATGGTACTGGTGGTCCGGTGAATATACGCGCTAAATTAAAAAGTTTTGTCCAAGTCTCTTCAAAATATAAAACCATAAATTGAAACTTATTTTCATATTCATTTATTTTTATATAACGGCTGCAAGACAACGGATCTATTCAAAATTAATGCCAAATAAATATATATATATATATATATATATATATATATATATATATATATATATATATATATTTCTCTATCATATTTATAAATATTTACATATATGTTAAATAAATTTAAAAAAAAGGTCTTCAATTACCTGAATTTAAGCGGCGCCCAAATACGGTCCGCGCTGTCAAAAACGGTCTAGAATAGCCCCTGACAGCTTTGCATGAACTAAAATTTTAAAGTCCTAATATTTTACCAGAGTTAGCAAATCGCGATCGTATAATTTAACTCTTGATATAAACTTGTTACATTATAATTATTCAAATATGTTTTACAAACAGATGACGATACATATTTTCTCTTTCTTCTTTAAAAGTGAAAACATAAAATATGGGAAAGTCATCCTTTTTAACGCCTAAAACCGTTTTCTTTTGGCTTTGACTTAATGAATTTTGTTGACGATAATAATAACCACTAAGAAAAAACAAAAATAAAAACAACACAAATTATTTAAACTATTATTATTGTTTTCTTTTTATGTTTACTTTAATTTCTTATGTAGTTATTAAATTTAAAACAATTTTTCAGTAACGCATATAATATAATTTGTGCAAACGGCTGTGATCATGTTCTCTAACTTGAAAAACATTTTCATGGTCGTACGAGACAAAAAACCGCACGCCTTTCCTGGGAAGGCTTGAAATGAGTTTTTTAAATGTTTTACTATGACTGTCTAAACGCAATTAAAAATACAGTAGTCTCTTGCTTAATTGCGCAAATTGAAACTGGCACTGCGGTGCGCAATTAACTAGGAGTGCGCAAATAAGAAAAAGATTTAGCTAAGAAATCAAGAAAAAATTTAGCTAATTAAATATAAACAAATCTTTATTAAGAAATATATTATGCATGACTGAAAAAGTCATGAATTGTAGGCTGATATTCATTTAGAAGCTTTTCTATTTGTATTTTTTTTTACTTTTTTTTTTATGCATTCTGCTCATTTTCTATTGCTTCAAATTTTCCAGACGATAATCGAAACACTTTTTTTCTTGCTTCTTCTGTCATTACTAAACTTCTTTTTTTATTTGATCTTGATTATTCCAGAGAGATCAAATTGAATTTTTAGTTATATTATATTCCTGCAATCGCTCGTTTGCTTGGCGCATCATTTTTTTAAATTTAGCTATAATTTCGACTCGTTGATCTTCTGATAATCTTTTTCCTTAGCCTTTAGCCATAAGAAGTAAGGATAAAAAAGTTGGAATAAGAGAATGTGAATAGACAACTAAATTTAAAATTAAGTTTTTTTATTAAAGTTTTTTTAATAAGACTTGACTGATAAATCGTTATTATCTGTTTAAAACAAGATTTATCATTTACTTCGATTTAAATTCGAATTTGAATTATTTATCTATTTACATTCGGATAAAATCATTATCTCAAAATATTTATGGTAAAAACTAGTTTTTAACTTAACACAGGAAAATAATAGTTACGTTTTCTGATATTATTACACTTTCAACAAAAAGCAAAAAATTTAAACACAAATATTTTGGGCCCAAACGCGCAATTAACTGGTGACTAAAATCAGTTGGATTAGTCTGTTCAATCATGTTTGTGGTGCATATGTGTGTCAGCTAGCTGCCAAGAATGTAATATCAATTTTCTGAATTAGTGTCTCATGAACAATGTTAAAAGATAATTTAAATATTCAAAAAGTTTTTGCTTTATGTAAAATTGCTGAACGCGTACGCAAATCGCCATTTTGTAAGTAAAATGCGAGCTGCATAATGTTTCTTAATAAGGCCTGTACATTATAATTTTGTTTAGGTTTATGGTTCAGGTTATGAAGTTGTTATCCTTGATTGTCATTTCAATCGTGTGCAAATCATGTCAAGCCACAAAGTTTTGATATTTTCAATTGTTAAAGGCATCTCTTGTGCAAAAGCAGATGGAAAGGTAAGCACTGTTGGGCAATCCAATTTTCATAATTTTTTGTTTTATTAATTTTAAAGCTTATTTTTAGCCTAATGATAGAGTTTCAAAGAGCAAAAACCAGCAAGGAGCAGTGACATTAGATTTATATTCATTGTATTTGATATCTGCTTTTTAAGTGTGGAATATTTAATAAACATTTTGTTTATTTTTATTATACATTTCTTCTCATTTTTATATTATTTTATTTTTATCTAATTTTTTTTTTTTATACTTTTACATTTGTACCAATCAAGAGAGTGCAATCAAAAAAACAGAGAAAACAACAAACATTTTGTTTAACAAAAAGTTTGTTGTTTTCTCTGTTTTTTAATTTTGGTTTTTAATTATCGACTAATTGTTAGAAGTCTTTTATTGTTTACTTTTATTGTTTACTTTTTAATATTAATCTTTTTGTTTAGAAGTTTAATTTTGAATTTGCGTTTAGAAGTTTAATTTTGAATTTCACTAAGTTTTTGGACAAAGTTTAAATAAGTTTTACTTCTTTAATTTGAGTGCAATTTTAAAATGGTTTAAAAATCAAACATTTTTAAAGTCTCATTAAGGTGAATTTGTTGTTTTGATCTTTTTAAATAGATTTTTGTAAATAAATATAAAAATGGTTAAAAAAGATGTTTTGAAAAGATAATACTTTTCGATATTGGAGTTAATGCTTGTGAAAATCTGAATTCAATATTTTGAGTCATTAATAGGCAAAAGTTCATGGAATCGTGCTACAGGAAATTGGCAAGTAGGAAATAAATTTATTTGATGACAATAGTGCAAAAGTTGTACTAGTAAAATTTAAAGTTTTAAATAAACTTTAACTGATGGTATTAAACTTTTATCTATAATAAAGAAAAAACAACAACATAGATCATTTAATACATGGTAATTATTACCTTAAGTCTGTCTGTATTTTATAAAGAACCAAAGAGTGTTCTATTATTAAAATTGCTTAGATTGCATAGTTAACTCTAGTTTACACATTTTAAAAGGAAACAAGAAAACTGGAAGGCCAAAAGTTACATCGAAAAGAGAAGTTAAGTTTATATGAGTACAATGTAAGCAAGAATGAACTAGTACTGCAAAAGATATCCATGAATTCTTGTAATAGGCTGATTTCAATGTCAACTGTGCGCATAAAGAGTGTATAGAACATATTAAATATTATATAGAGTGTATAGCACAAATTATATAGCCCATAATATGTTCATAAAACTACTTTTATGTTGTCAAAATAAATTAATTAAATTAGAGATTTAATAGGCTTAAAAATATAAAGATCTGTCAGTAGATGAATGGTTTAATGTCTTATTTACAGACTATTTGATATTTGAAATTTTCTGAGGAAGTTGATGTCCATATGTATGTTGAAATGTTGGAGAATGAATGAAATGCAATAAGTAGAGTAAATGAAACTTATTGATTCAAAAATATACAGGGGTGGGACCGCAAAATGTGAACACTTTTCTGATTGTAATAATTAATTTTCTGTTAAATATGAACTATTTTAAATGTTCAATTTGACCTCCTTGATTCTCGTAGATCATTTTACAACGTTTAGACCAACTCTTTAGACACTTTCTGATGAGTGAGAGAGTACAACTACATCTAACGAGAAAATAGTTATAATAAAACAAAAACGTTCACATTTTGCGGTCCCACCCCTGTAAAGTATTTAACAACATTTGATTTAAAATAAGTTTTTTTCTAAATTATTTCTAAGTTCTGTTTTTTATAAAAATGTAAAATGTATTTACATAAATGCAAACATGAACCGTACAAAATTTTTGTATACAGAACTATGTAATGCTATCACTTAGCTAATTTTGAAGTTTATATTGTATGTTGAAATGATGCTAGTGTTTTAGATATATATGTTTTCTTTGTCCTCAGTGTACCCCACTAAAGGTAGGTATGAAAATGTTGTTTTTACTGACTGCTTTGCTTTACTATGTCTTTACTGGCTGTATTTGGAATAGTGTGTTTCCTTAATATATTTGTAGCAAATATATTTAGATAGCTGTTTCTTTTGGAAAAAAAGTTGTACTATATCAAGCAGAAAAAGTTCAGGCCACAACAGAAATGGTATGCTTTGTAGACTTTTTTGTAAAGTGATTCCGATAAAATTTTACCCAATAAAATCTCAAAGATATTTTCATTTAGAAATTGCCATACTTATGGAAAATTGTGACTATAATACCTTTTGATAGCGAAGTTGAGAAACTATGTTGGGATGTTGAAGGTACTATATTAGTTGCTAATTTTTTATTTATTTAGTAGGCTCAAAATTAGATTTTATTTACAAAATATCATTTTAAACAAGTTTATGAACTAGTGGAATAAAAAAAATGTTAAAATCTTTTTAGGTGAAAGATTGCTTATTGGTAGTGATAATTTGCATATGTGGAAATTAAACACAGATATATCTGATGATGATGATGTTAATAAATGGACTTGTGTTTGGCATCGCAGGTGCTTTTTTTTAACTGCAGTTAGAATTATTAACTGATTTGTGTTTTATATTTAAAATTTTTAGTTATTTAATATTTGTCAAATTATTTTTATGTCTTATATGAGTATTTTCAATAATTTTTGTGTTCTTGTTTATAAGATTTTCTAATTTGGTGGTCCAGTTTTTGTATTTTTCCGCATTTTAATCATTTTTTTATTTGTTGTACTAAAATAAATCCTAATTTAGATTTGCTACTCCACCGAAACATTTACTTTTTTCACCTGACGGCCATTATTTTGCAAGTGCAGGCCAGGTTAGTTTTTTTTCTTAAAGAGGCATGCTAAGTAAGTTCAATATATTTGTATGTGTAAGTCTGTATACATAGTTAAATCAACTATATATATATATATATATATATATATATATATATATATATATATATATATATATATATATATATATATATATATATATATATATATATATACATATATATATATATATATATATATATATATATATATATGTGTACATGTATTTTATTGTATAAATATGCTAATTATATCCACATACAAATATCTTTGTATGTGATGGTGTGAAAAAGGTTTTTAGCTTGTTTTCAGAAAAAGCTGCTTTCTGCTTACCTTTTCTTTTTTCAGTTTTATTTGTTTCGGTTTTCTAGTAAAAATAACCTTGCATTAAAGAGCACAACAAAATGTTTAGGCATGGAAAGTCATTTTATCATTTTAATATTGGAGTTATATATTAAATGTTTTATATCAGAGTTAATTTCTAACTTATACTTAGAAAAGTAAATCCTACAAGACAACAGATCACGTGACAAGTTGTACTGGCTTATGTTATGAGTAGATGATTGATGATGATTCTAATCCTGATTTGACTGAAATTATTATGTGAAATTTAATTTAATTTTTAACACCAGGTTAAAAATCTGTTGTTAATTTTGTCCTTACAAGTTAATTAATAAAAGGTTTTTAAAAATATTTTTATAATAAAGTACTTTTAAACCAAAATTAGTCATTGCTGGTCATATTTAGAATTTTCAATTAGTTACTTGCTGACATTTTAACAATAGAAAATTGGTATAAAAGTGTGAATATGAATTTAAGAAATAAACTTAGATATCAAGTTTTTGTTAGTTTTTATACATTTAGTTTTAGGAAAAATAAAGAGTATTAAATGTTGAAAGAAAAACATTAAAAAAAAAAATATTACATATTTACATTATTTAAGTTTTTTAATTAAACTTCGGATCTTTCTTGGAAACCATATATCAAATTGATTGCAAAATTAGCATCTGGTAAGGTTGCATCTCAATATTATGCTCGCCATTTTCTTACTTAGGATTCTATTCTTTATCTCTATAATTCTCAAATCAGTGCTTGTTGGGAATGCTGTTGCCATTTCTGAATCATCTTCAAATAATTCTCTTTCTCTTTTAGACAAGGTGCATAAAGGCATTGTAAACATAGTTGGACCTGTTCTTGCTACCAATCTTCAACAATTTTCACATCATCGTAATGTTGCTTCTTTTTGTCTTTTCTATAAATATTATAATGGCATTGCTCTAAAGAGCTAGCTCCTCTTATGCCATATACTAAAATTCATTCTTGTGTTACTTGTCATTCAGTTAAATCTCATCCTTTTATTATGACTGTTCCTAAGTACTCCAAAAACTCTTATTGGTTCAGTTTTTTTCCTCAAACATCAGTCCTTTGGAGTTTGCTTCCTTTATCTTGTTTTCTTGATTCATATATAATTTGCAATTTTTTAATTCATATAATTTGCAATCTTTTAAGTTAATCTTTATATTGCTCTATAAATTTCATCTTTTCTCATCCAGTAACTTCCAACTCTAATAGTGGTTGCTTGCAGCCTTGTTAGAAGTGAAGATTTAAAAAAAAAAAAAAAAAAAAAAAACTAGTTGTGCAGTAAATTAGTAAAGTGCTTTGGTTTAATAAAAAAGTTCATGTTCATAAATATCAAAAGCAAATATAAAGAATTTAATGTTTATATCCCATTAGGCTTATGCCATAAACATTTATATCAAAGTCTAATTTCTCTTAATACTGACAACATTAATAGTGCAGCATATTGTGACACTTTTTTGGTATTACTTTAAATTCTGAATGAAATTTTAGCATGTTGTCTAGTTTTTGTAAGTCTGCAATAATTTTGTGTTTAAAAAAAAATTATTTAAAATCTAAAAGTTAAAAATAATTTAAATTTGAATAAAAAACATTTGTTATATACAACAACTTTTAGTTTTTCAAGATCAACATGCAACATATTACCCATCTTTCTTTTTTTTACAATTACTACTGTACTTTACTACTATTGTAATTTAAAGTGGATAAATTTGTTTCTTTAAAACATTATTTTCATTTGTTATATAATAGTTTTTGTCTATTAACACTTTAGAGTCATTAAAATATGCTATAAACACTTTGTTGGTGCAAGCAGCACCCTGTAACATGAATATATGATATAAAATAATTTTTTACTTTACTTAAGTATTAAAATTAGTTTTTTAAAATTCAAAGAACCTTTTAATCTAAACCTTTGTAATTGTTGATGATAAGTGTTGCTATTAAAGTAATTGTCTTTTGTAAGAGTTGAGATGCATCTAGTAGTATTTAAAGCAAACAGGGATGGGGAAAAAACTCAAAGTTTTTAAAAAAATTCTTTTGATAATTATAATAATAATAAGAATTTTAAATAACAATGAGAATTATAATAAGTAATAATAAGTTAGTTCTTCTTAATCAGCAAGAAAGTTTACAAGAAAAATCAGAGGGAAAGCTTACTGGTGAATGATGGCTGAGTTGCGGAAGTTTTTTATGGAATATTAATGCTACAGTGCTAGTGCAATTATTGTAATACAAAATTCATAAATAGTCAAAAAATAGAGAGAAAAAAAACTTGAATTTAATAAATCAAAAAAAAGAAAAATCTTGGTTATAGAATTTATCAATTTGTCAACTTGTTATGCAAAATGATTAATCAGATCTTTGGTTATTCAAACTAAGCAGTATGTTATATATATATATATATATATATATATATATATATATATATATATATATATATATATATATATATATATATATATATATATATATATATATATATATATATATATATATATATATATATATATAATATATATATATATATATATATATATATATATATATATATATATATATATATATATATATATATGCATACATTGTACTTACCTTATTGTATATAATTACAGTGTATATAAAAATATTTATGCAATAAAAGTTTGCTTTTAAGTGTTTTTTGGTATGTTTGAAAAAGTAGAATTATTATTGAATCGATTAATTTATCATGTTTTACCATTCATGTTATTAACCTATTATTTTTATTTTTTTGTAGGGTGATCGAATGGTAAAGATTTGGTTTCATGCTCCAAAAGGTATGGAAGTTAAATAATACTAGTGGTACTTTTAAATATAATTTTACAAATTAGTTATAAATTTTATTGAAATAAATAAACTACAAGTTTGTGTTCAAGTTCTTGTTCAAATATTTAAGTTTTTTGAAAAATGTTGTTATAAAGCTAGTTTTTAATTTTTTTTATTTGCATTTTAATTTACAAAATAATTTTATAATATTTTTAACTCTTTAAAAAATTGTATTAAATTATTTTTTAAAGTATGTCAAACCACTACTACTGCTCGTCCATTTCATCGTTCCTATTCAGGACATTCTTGTGCAAGTGAAGACAATTACAACTTTGTATATATTTTTCATCCGTCTGAGGTTGTTAGTTTTTCTTGGAGGAATACAAGCAAACATATGCCAACGTAGGTATATTTTAATTTTAAACTAATCTCATTTATTTTGTTTCCTTAAAATAGTGTTTTTTTAATAGTGATAATAATCCATTAGGTTAATGTTAGTTGTGGTTAGATTATTTGTTTTAAAAACAAGATATCTAGAAATAGAACCCCCCACCTCCCATAAGCCTGGTACTATCATGCTCAACTTGTTTTCACATATAGCCACTTTACAAATCAAAGTTTATGTTTCAATAATGTAAGGTTAAAAAAAAGTTTAAACAAAACTTTGAATACTGTAGGTTTTTCAATAAAAATGGTCTCAGCCTTTGGAAGTTCACTGATTTTAGTTACTAGTGATTAAGTCTATCAGAATCTGCAGGTTATAAATAAGCAAAATTTGTAGATTTGTAGGCCCCAGTTTAGACAATATTTTTAAATAAAAATAAAAAATTATGAAATGATCAAGGTTAATTGCAATTGATCATTATTTAGAAAAATTATTTTCATATTTAGAAAAATTATTTTGCTCTGTTTTTTAACATAATTGTTTTTTACACAAGTAAATGTTTTTTACACAAGTAGCAGATATAAAAAATATAAAAAAACAAAACACAATATAAAAAAACAAAACAATTGTTCTGTTGTTTATTGTACTTATTTGTTTAGTTCTACTATTCGTTTATATTTTTGCTGGTAAAAATTATAAATGTATATCAACCCTCGGAATTAGGAAAAGTGAGGTCGGCAATAATTTACTGACCTAAATCTTTTAAAGGTCGGCAAAAAAAATTTGATACATAGGTCTTACGATAAAACGAGGTCAGCAATTTTTTGCCGACCTCAAAGACTTTTAGTTCGGCGTTGCTGAATGCCAACCCTAATTCCGAGGGCTGATGCATATACAGTAGGGTGTCCCAAAAAAAAACATATTTGAAAATAATCTGCTCTTACCCCCTAAATGTGTTCTATCTAATGCAAAAATACTAGGTTTAAATTTTTTTTGAATAAAAAATATTTTAAGGGGTCCCTCAAGACCCTCGAATATTTAATGGGTCCCTAATATTTTTGAAAAAAAAGTTTTTCAAAAATATGTCAACCTGGTACTCAAATGAAGCGAAATTATATAAATATTTCAAAAATAATATTCATTTCGAAATATTTTTAACTAATTTATCAAAATTATCATAAAAAAACATTAGAAATGCATTTTTTTCATTTTTTCTTAAAAAACGCAATTTTTTATGTAATAAAACCAAAAACAACAATTTTGTTTCGAAATGAATATTATTTTTATATAATTTTTATATAATTTCGCTTCATTTGAGTACCAGGTTGACATATTTTTGAAAAACTTATTTTTTGAAAATATTAGAGAGACATTAAATATTCGAGGGTCTTGAGGGACCCTTAAAATATTTTTTATTCAAAAAAAATTTAAACCTAGTGTTTTTGCATTAGATAGAACACATTTAGGGGGTGAGAGCAGATTATTTTCAAATATGTTGTTTTTTGGAACACCCTAATATACAGTATTTATTCAACTATAAATTATTATGAATTATTTATAGGTGTTCTGTTCCTAATGTTTTGTTAACATCGTGTGCAGATAATATTTGTCGCATTTGGTCAGAAACTGTGAAATACAAGCCTTCAAATCACACAACACCTCACCAGCCATCAGAATATAGTTCTCCAACTAAATCAAGTTCATCAACTAAAAAAAAAAAAGATTCTATAGAGAAATTATTGCAGTCTGATATCCAGTCAGATATGGACAATACATATTTTTCCAAAGATCATCAAAATTATCATTTAATAAGTTTGTTTCATTTTCACCTTGCAGCAGTTATTAATCCAACCTCTGACATTGCTCTTTTGTCAACTATTCCAACAACTTCAATATTTGGTCGTTGTTTTCAATTGCATTGGTTAAATAACAAAGAAATTCAGTTCACCACAGCTATTGAAGCAATGCATGAAAACTTTAAAAAGTCTGCAGAGGCAAATTACACTGATGAAACTGATGATCCTTTTTCTATAATTGGTGGTGTTGATACTGAAATCGGGGATCCAGAATTATATGATAAAGTCAAAACTTTAGACAGAAACCTGGAAGATGGTATGTTAAATGTATTCTTCGTATTTCATATATTTGTTTTATTTATTTTTATTCAATTATAAACATAGTTAAAGGGATCCCAAACTCCCAACACATGTTGTGTTCTTTTTAAAGATAATGTTGAAAAAAAAGGTTTGAACCAAATTTTTTTGATCAAAAATAAATAATGAATGCATACCGTGAAAAACAAATGTTATTGTTTTTGCCGAAGCTCGCCTTCTCCATTTTTTTCAACCACTCGGAGTCTTCAAATTATGCGTCGCAATCTACAGACTTTGGCAATTCCTTTGAAGCGCGTTTAATTCATAAAAGTTTTAGTATTTGACGTCGCGGTAGACTTTTAACAAATAAAACTCTAGAAATATTTTTATTTATTTTTATTCGAACTTTTTTTGATTATTTGTTTAGGTTGTTTTTTTCTATTTTTAACATTTAAAAAGATATTAAAAACCTCAAAAATTTTATGCTGGTTCGTTGCTATAAATTGTTATTGCGCCGTATATTTAATGTTTATAAATTATGAATATTTATTATCTCAGAAATTGTTTTACATTAATTACCTGTATAAAATTAGTAACAGCTTTTTTATTTGGTTAGACGATATTTCGTTTCAATTTGCTTTGCATGAAGTTCCGAAAGTCAAACGAAAAAAATTAGTTTAAATAATCACAGAAATATATTTAAAACAAATTAATTTAATGACGGGGGTTCTAAAGTTTTTTATAACAAATGTAGGTAAAAAAATAAATAACTAAATAAAAAGTATAAAAGTAAAGTTCAGTATTAAACACCATTTCTTTATTATATTGCAACTGTACATATTGAATTATTAACTTAAACTAAATTTACTTATTATTTAGAACGACTAAGCAATAAAAATAAAATGCCTCTAAAATTATGCGAGATTGTGTTGTTTATTTGATAACTGTTGTTGGTAATGTTGTTTATGTTGATTATTTTCATAAATATCAAAATAGTTCCAGATTAATCTGTTCGTTGCTTTGCTCATTGTTGATTTATTTCTAATTTAATTTTATCTCAAACTATAATTATATATTAAAAAATAAAAGTTTTTATTTCATCGGGCGCTCTTTTTATAAAAGAGTAGAACAAAAGAGAAAGAAAAGTTTCGCGCAATTAAACTTTGAATGAATAAGAGTTGTAAAGAATATATATTTTTTTTGCGTCACTCGTTCTTTTTTTAGATGAGAGAAATAAAAGTTTAATAGTTTAATTTTCTTTGAATAAATGAGAATTGGAAGAGAAAATTGCTTGAAAATTTGTATTTGTTAATTGTGTTTTTAAAAATTTTTAATTTTTCATGTTAAGAGACAAATGCCAATTACGACACAAATTTGGAAATACCACATATAATAGTTTTTTAATGCGCGTTATGACATTTTAACAATTTAAATTACCATCTATCTTGGATTATTGCCTTTAATTAATGTGTTAATTATTGCGTTATTTAATAATAATTTGTTTGTATTTTTGTTAAATATTAGTTGCATAAAACGGGCGAAAATATACAAACTTCATGTTTTTTATTTGATGGTTATAAAATATTGAACAGTAAACTTATAATCAAAATTTATAATGCCGACTTGTGTTGCAATTAATTGTACTTTTAATGCAAAATCAGGATCTCACATATCCTTTCATGAATTTTCATATCTGATACTACTGTCAATTGTATTGTTTAGTGTATTCTTGTACTTTTTTTTCATAATCTTAACAGGTTCTAATTGGTATGGAGTTGCTGACATTTTAAAAATTTCATTATCAAAAATCAAATGTTAAATAAAATGGTATTTCCTTTTTATCTGTATCCAATTCAGCAAATTTAGCAATTTAAATTAAATCAGCGTGATCAAAAAAATTGTATAATAAAAAAAATTAACAATTCATTAAATATCTCTAATTAATACTGTCAGTTTATGAAAGTAATTGTTAATAAATACTTTTTTTCAACGGGAAAACAAAAAATTGTCACAACGTAAAAATAACCAGAAAAGTTAGAAAATAGTTCCCATTGTTTAAATAAAAATAATTAAGAATCAGAATATATAATACTGCGCTCTCTTGCGCTAAAACAAGAGACCGTATATAAAACGTTCTATATAAAGTAAAATACTCGTATGAAAATCATGAGATTGGTAAGTAAAGCTTTAATATTTGTTTTGATTTAAACCTTTTTTTTTAACATTATCTTTAATATGAACACAACATGCGTTGGGAGTTTGGGATTCTTTTTAAATATTTATAGAAAAATAAAAGTACTTAATGAAATATATTAAATCTAAATCTGCAGCACCCCAGACCATTTTTTAGTTCATGTATATCTTCTGTAAACGTTTCATACCATAAGTATTCCTGTATCATTGAGAACAAAATTTTATTTTTTCTATGTTACTGATCTTCCTTACAATCTTACATCTAAAATGGCTTTACTTGCTGACAACAAATCTCTATGTTCCAATCTTGACAAAAAGTCATCACTTTTTGATCTCTTAAAACTGTCGATCTGGAATCTGATTTCTCTTTTATGACAACATGGGGCTTGCATGGCTTGTGATTTTTAGCCCAAGCAAAACTTAATTATTTACTGCAAACATTTGTTGCAATATATTTGATATTCCTATATTGATTAATAGAAACACTCTCTCTGAGTCCTCTACTTTATGTTCTTCTTGAATTATCATTGTAGGCCTTGTTTTAAATAAGAAACAGCTTAGTACATTAGCTCAGCGTGATTTTTATTTTTTTTTTTTGTTTGTTTAAGGACATTAACTTTGTTTGTTTAAGGACATGAACTTTTTCAACTTTTTTACCACGGTAAAATAAATTACAGCAAAACAAGTTTATTTTATTAAGAAAAATAAATCTAGAAGTGTTATTTTCTAAATGTAGGGAAAGTGGGGGCTTTATCGCTCCCGTAATGTTTGAATTAATGTTATATAAAAATAAAAACAAAATGTGTTTTTTTTAACAGTTTATTTCAATAACTACATCATTAAGCTTTAAATTGATGCTTTTAAGAAAAAAATTAAATAGTTTTTGAAAATGTTATTACATAAAAATTACACTTTGTGGAAAAAAATGATTTTGCCCCCATTGTGAGGCACAACTGCACCCTCACAAAAATCGTTTGAGGTAGACTTTTCTTGCTACATTTTTTTTTACAATTTTCACAGCTCAGATTATTAAAAAATCATTTATAAAAATTAATAAAAAAATATGAAATCTAATTTCCAACATCTCAATACAAAACTATTACTATTTAAGTTTTTACATGAAAGCATTCAAGTGTGACAGTTTTTATTATTGTTATTTGTAATTACTTAACTTTGATAAATATAAAAAGTATGCCGTTGTGCCTTCTGTACGTCTTTGCTGTTCTGCCCCAGAGGACATTTTTTAGAAAGAATACAGTTTCATAGCTTGTTTATTAGGTTATGTTGAAATCAAAAATAGTTTTCACTTGATGAAATAATGCTGTTAACACATATCTTGAACACTAAAATCAAACATTGTTTAATCCTCAAAAAAAAGGTCTGGAAAAATATAATGTAAATATAATATTTTTTATCAGAATAAACATTATTATGCACAACTTCTCAGAAGCGTAACAGGCACTCTTTTTGACATAAGTGAAATGAAGGAAACTGTTTTACTAGCGTCTGGTATGTTTTTTCCCATATTAGATAACATTTTTCAAAGGGAAATGTTAAAAAACAGTTGTGCCTCCATATGCGGTTATGCCTCCACTTCCCCTACATATTGTGGAATGTCTATTTTGTTTTAAATTTTTTTTTAATATTAAATAATTAAATTTAATATTACATTTTTTATTATCATTTATTGTAAATTAATTTCTTTTTTTTTCTCAACTTTTGTATAAATGAATATTAATATTTTAATAATTTTTTCTTAAAATTGCGGCTTTGCAAATAATGATTTTTTTAGTTAAAAAAATTATTAACAAACAAAAAATATTACTTGTTGCAAAGAAAAAAACCTCAAGTTAATTACTTTACCAGCGCTTTTTTTTGTGATAAACAAAGATTTGTGTTTCCAAGTACCATTTATTAAAAAATATATACCATTGTGCTTTCACTAGCCTTAAAGCAAAAAAGTTAAACGTGTGCTTTATGAATATTTTTGATGCAGTGTTATAAGTTATAACATGTTTACAAGGAATTTAATATTTTGTAAAAAATAGAAAAGGAGAAAGAAAAACTGAGAAAAAAAAAATCTTATTTTTAAAAATTTTTTTATTCAAAATTCTTTCTAAATTATAAGGAAATTTATGTTTTCACTTTTTTGATATTGCACAATCTGTTAATTATATAAAGCTGATGTGATTATAAAATATTATTTTTGACAAAATAAAACTTATAAATATAAATGAAGACATTGCAAGAGTTATATTACTTCAAGCGTAAATTCAAGCAAAAAAATTAATAATAGAATTGTATCCATTAAAAAAGTCTAGATATTAGTTATTTCTTGCTCTTGCAAGATGATAAATAAAAGCTTTTTTTAATGTTTTATGATTTCTTTTTTTAAGCATTATTTAACATCTTTTTTTTTTCTTTTGCTGAACATTTTTGATAAAAAAGTTAGAATAATAAAAATAAAGTTTTCTTTGTTTTTTCTTAACTTATTATATTTGTAAATAGTGCGAATATCAAACAAAACTTTTTTACGTAATCATCACTCAAACTTATGTCATTCAAACATCTTAAACTTTAATGTTAATTACTTTATTTATCTTACCATTTAAATGATAACTTGTTTAAATATTAAAAAATGATAAAAGCTACTTTGCTGAAATGGCTTACGGCTTATGTTAAATGGCTTAGCTTGTACATAAGGCGCACCAGTTTACGCTTTAAAACAAGGCCTATCATTGAATATTGACCTCTCATGGAAGTCATATAATCAATCCATTGCCAATTTAGCAACTGCTAAAGTTGTTTCTATTTATCATGTTTGTCATTTCTTTACTCCCAATTCCATTCTCTACCTCTACAAATCTCATTTTTTATCTCTTTATAGAACATTGTTTTCAGTTTTAGGCTGGTTCTTCTAATGATGCCCTTTCTTTTCTAAACAAGGTCCAAAAACTTATTAAAAGTGTAGACTATCTCTATCTTCCAAGCTTGAGTCACTGCCCCATCATACCAAGGTTGCATCTTTTTTTTTTTTACAAGTACTGTCTATACAAATGTTTGTATGTAAAAGTACTAAAGTTGCTGCTTGAATGAGCTATCATCTCTAGTTTATCAACCAAAACTCATTCTCGCTTGTCTTATTGTATGTAAAAAATATTTGAAAAATCATGAGACCTTGTTGATAGGTTTTTAAAATTTTACTAATATCAGCTCAAAATTTTACTAATATAAGCTCATATAAAATGTAGTTATGTTTAAAAAAATGTTATCTTTGTGATTAATTATAAATGTTTATAGTAAAAAAATTTAGTAAAAAAGGTATATGCAAATTGAAAATTTGAAACAAAATAATCTTTATTTAGCCTAATTTTTTTATTAACTAAAAAAGATATATGTAATACAAAGTTTTATTTATTTTTGATATCTATTTGCACTACTAATAAATGTTTGTTAGTATTGTTTATTTCTTTATTTATTTTGTTATTATTTATTAACTAGACTACAGTGAAGATGAAGAGGATGATGCAATGCTTGAAACGCAAGCCTTAAATGCACCTCAGAAAACAGATTTTATTCCTTCTGACATTGATTTCCCTGGTTTTGATGCTAGCTCATATAAAGGACAGTTAGATAACTTACTCCACAAATGGATGACATCAACTGATACACTTTTTTGTATTCATCCTTTTGATGGCTCATTATTAATTTGGATTGTTGACTATTTAGATAATTTTAAAGTTTCTTGTTACCGACAAGTACAGGTTAGCTTTGCATCAAGAATACCTTCTACATTTACAAAAGCTGATGCTAGCTCACTTTGTTGGATGCGTTCATATCATTATACACAACCAGTTCAAAAGGAATTATCATCAGGAGGATTTCTTTTTACATTTAATCCAGGTTATAAGGCAACTGGAAGATTATCTAAAGGTTCCGCAAATGAGCAGTTGTCTTTGCTTCAAGTTTCTTATTTGATCTCAGCACATGCCGATGGGAGTTTAAATTTATGGCTAGTTACATTCTCAGACACAGGTTCATTTACTGGTATAACCAGTATAACTCATGTTACAAGAAGTTGTGGGCCTCGATTTGAAACTACAAAACTAATCAGCCACCCTGTGTTGCCGTTGGTTTTAGGAACATCTAAGAGGACAAATGACATTTGCTATCACCGCCACGAAATTGAAACTACAAACATTGCAGATATTGAGTCTGAATTAATTTTATGGCACACTAAACACGTTAGTCCATTATCCACATTTAAAGGAGTTACAGAAATGGCACGTATTTCCTCTCCAAATCCACTGGCTTTTTCTTCAATAGCTTGGGTGCCAGCTTTATATCAGCATTCCCTTCTTTCAATTACAAGTAATGAGATTGAACTTCTTCCTGATGGACCATGTACTTGTTTTGTTGTTGCTTCCAACTCTGGAATTGAGTTGTACCAGGTTTTGCTTGATGCAAAAAATCTATTGTCTAATCTTGCATATCAAAATAGTCTTCCTGATGTGCCTATGATGGCTAAAAATTTATCTTCATTTATTATAAGTGAGCAATCAGGTTCACATTCTGCTTGCATTATGAAGTTATGTACCTTAGAAAGTTCACAAGATCTTCAAAGGACAAAGTTTTTGCATGTATATAGCAAGCATTCCATGCTTCCTAAGACAGTTTTAAGTGCATCTAAGTCTGATGTAAAACTTGATAGTTTTTTTATTGCATCCGTCAGTACCACTTCAGATAATAGAGATATTATAAATGTATGGTGTATAGATATAGAATTACTTGGAAAATACAATACAAAAACATCAGTTACTCCACAAAGTCCTGATTCAATTTTAAGCAATGACTCTTTTTCCTCTATGCCAGTTATTTCATCCAGTCATTGTCTTAAACAATCTCATATTTATAACGATTTTTTGCATGAATCTTATAAAAAGATTTGCGCTGCTTCAGATTTACACTGTTCAAATAGTTTGAATCCCTCTTGCCCGCTAAATTTTAACTTTGTTACTTATTCTGATGAGTCAATTAAATTTTGGAATTTTGTGTTGTCTGAAGATGAAAAAGATAAAAATGTTTGCACATTAGAAGAATTAAATGACTCTTTAAAAGAGCAAGGAGTAATTGTTTGTCTGAACTGTGCTAGCACCGAACTGTTTGCTTTTGTAGTTGAACTCTTTGATAGCAACTTAAATAAAATGTATAATATTTGCATATATGAAAATCAATCAACAGGTGGTTTATATTGGGTGAAAAAACAAACAATTCCAATTATCAATGTTTTAGTGCTTGAAGAAAATATGATTGAGTTATCTTGGCTTCATTTAGAAAATGGTTCTTATTTATTAGCTTTAGCCTTTAATAATTCTATTTTTATTTATAACAAAGACAGAAAAGAATTTGAAAATGATTTACAGAGTTCTATTTGGGTTGTTCTAAAGGATTTCAGTCTCTTTGATGACAAATCACCCTTACGGTTGACTACGATATCATGGAGTCGTGGCGGTTTTTTTATGGTAGGAGTTGAAAATGAAATACAGGTTTATTCTCAATGGGAAGATACAGAAGAAGTCACATTAAATAATAAAACTATTTCTTTGTTTGATGGGGGGAGAGTAGTGAGTATTTTTTTGTGTGTAATTTTTTATTTACTTTTTTTATTGATTTTTTAGATTTAAATAAAAAATTAATTTATAGAATGAACATGGTTTCATAATAACAAAAAATTCATTTACTGAAGCATGCAAAAGTATGTGTACTCTTCCTCAATATCATCCTTACCATTTGATTGAGCTATTGAATCTTGGAAAGTTAAGAAGAGTTCGTTTAATTTTGAGACACCTGGTAAATCATTTTTATTGATATTTTTAAACTTTACTATGACAAATCACTGTATGTGTTGTGTGCATATGTATAAACATGCATACATACATACATACATACATATATATATATATATATATATATATATATATATATATATATATATATATATATATATATATATATATATATATATATATATATATATATATATGCATACATACATACATACATACATACATACATACATACATACATACATACATATACAGTATTGGCCATTAATAACAATTCATTGCTTTACTTTGGTATGAATTTCAGTTTGAAATTAAATATTTTATAATTTAAAAGAGATTTTTTCTTCTTTTTTTTTTTTTTTTTATTGAAGTAAATCAAATTATCACAATATAAATTTATTACAAAATAATAATGTTAATAAAAATTAAAAACTTAAATATGAGGTATTCCATGAGAAAGTGGGACAGGTATGTAACCCACCATCTCAGATTTTCTTCATACTTTATAAAAATGGTCATCTATATAACATAGACTACCTTGCAATATTTTAGCACTGGTATCAAAGGGGCTTTGGAGTTATTGTTACTTTAAAATCAGTTATTTTTAGCAGTTTTTTCTGTTCGGTGGCCATTTTGATTTTACTATAGTTTTTGTTTTACAAGTTACTGCTTAACTAAACATGTAGTTAAGCTGAAAATGAGCCCCAGTAAAGTTTTTAGGACGAGGAATCAGAATATAATATTTGTTTGTAATGAGAATATTTAGAACTATATCAATATGGCGATTGTACTTCACCTACAGGTATTTTTGAAATTTTAACTAAGGCAAAAAGGAAGTCTGGTAACCATGGTAGTATTATTTTTTTGTGATATTTTTTTTGTTTTTATTTAAATAGATATGCTAATGAGTTTTTTGGTGCAAAATGTAAAGGTGGGTTTTTTAAAATTTTTTGTAAAAATATAGGAGTGAAAAAATTATGTGAAAAAATAAGTATTATAGGTCTGTGTTCATGATTTTATTTTAAATTAATTGACATTTCCAATTTTCATTAGTTATCAAAAGTATTATACAAAAGAAATCCTTTTAACCTATTATTTAAAGAAACTTTATTTCAAATGAATATTTCTTTTTTAAATTTTTGCTTTCTAATTAATGACATATTATGTCATCTTTGACTAAAACAGAAGAAAAACTCAATATTTAAAACCCTAAGACTTAGTCTGATTAGTCTGATGTTTTATCAGCTGTTGTTTGTTCTAATAGCTAATCATTAATTAAAAAAAAATTATAAAATCAAAGTTAAAAAAATAAATACATAAAATACTATATATTGTACATATTTTAAAATACTAATTACAAATGGTAAATATTTTTTCCATTTTTAATAAATGCATTAAAATGTATTAAATATGTCTGTGTATTTTGTGTTTATTTATATCTTATTAAAAAATTGAAAAAAATAAAATGAACAAGATTTTATGTACAGTTGGTATTCAATGTCATAAAATAGTGTACACTAAATCAGTTGGATTGAAAGATTTATCAAGCTATTCAGAGAAAGATAGAAATTTATTATTATGGAGATCTGGGCTATCAATATTTAATGTTAATGTTAAAATCTGTTTACATCATGAACAAATTTTACTTAACCGGTTTGCTAACTCCCAAAAAAATTGCATCGACCCATTTAAAAAGCATAAAACTAATGTATAAGGTAAATTTTTACGTTTTTAACTTATTGTGCTGTCTTTTTACAAAAAATACATCTAGTACACTTTCAATTGGTTTAAAAAATTTTAATTTTTTTATTTTATTCCTAACATTATATATAATAATGTTAGGAATAAAATAAAAAAATTAAAATTTTTTAAACCAATTGAAATCTAATTAATATATCTAAATTAATATTTCCTAATTTTGGCGAATTTTATTCATTTATAATATATTTATAGGTGGTTTGCGAGAAATTGATATTCAACTGGCAAAAGATATGTGTTCAATTGGTATTAAAACAACACCTGGTTTTAAAATGTGTCCTTCATGTCGAAAAGAAGTGGTAAAAAAAATAGATAATTGGTCTACCTTACAGGACCACAATGGTGAAGATGATTTTCTGGAACAAACATTTTTTGATGAAAATATAGAAATGGCACAAGAAAAAGAACTTATAAACACCAGTTTTGATAAATTAGATGTATCGCCAGTAAAATTTCATGGGGTTCCACAACATGCTAAAATTCCTCTAGGAAAAAGAAAGTTAATGCAAGCTACTGATGTTATGTCAAAAAAGCTATCAGTTATCCTCAATGTTAATGCAACAGACCTGAAAAATGATGTTATTGGGGAGCCCAATGTTGAAAATCAGAAGAAAGCTGAAGATCTAGATAAATTGATACTTTCAATGCAAGAAAAGCTTAAAATAGCAAATAGAAGAGAAAAGATTCAGATTTTAACATTGGTTCCAGATTCATGGTCTTTAAGGAAAGCAGCTGAAGTATTTAATATATCAAAATCAACCATAACTAAAGCAAGAAAACTTAAATTTGAAAAAGGAATATTAACACTTCCAGAAAAAACTAACATTGTTAGAATTGAATCAGATATCATTAATAAGGTGGAAAGCTTCTATTGTAATGATCAGTTTAGTAGGCAGTTACCAGGTATAAAAGATTTTGTAAGTGTATCCAAAAATAAACATGTATCAAAGCGATTACTTCTTTGCAATTTAAAGGAATTATTTATTGAATTCAAACTAGAACACCCTCAATCCAAAATAGGATTTTCTAAATTTGCTCAGTTAAAGCCAAAATGGTGTATTTATGCTGATCAAAAAGGAGCCCATGCTGTTTGTATATGCGCAAAACACAAAAAAACTAAAGCTTATGCTTAGCTCAGTTAAACTGGAGAAGAATTACCATGAACTTATTGAGAAGATTGTTTGTAGCAGAGAGTCAAGGGAATGCACGGTCCATAGATGTAATCAATGCCCTGGAATTCAAAATATTATAAATTATATGACTGCAAATCTATTGCAAAATGAAGGATCATTTAAAGAGAATAACAAAGTGGATGAAGATGAAACAATTGAATACAAACAATGGAGTACAACAGATAGAGCAGAGCTTCTAAGTAACACATCTACAATAAGTGAATTCATTGAAAGTCTTAGTGGAAAACTTGATAGCAAAACACCTCACTCTTATATTGCTAAAGCACAAAGCAAATGTTTAAATATATTAAAGTCATCTATACCCATAAATGAAATTATTATATTAGTTGATTTTGCAGAAAACTTTAAATTTATCATACAAGACGAAATCCAGAGTTACCACTGGAACCAACAGCAATGCACACTACATCCTGTAGTTATTTATAACAAAAATGATGAGGGTTCTACTAAAAGTCAAACGTCTTTATGTTTTATATCTGATGACTTAACACGCGATGTTGGATTTATTTATTGTATAGTAAAAAGAACTGTCCAATTTGTACAAGAAATGTTTCCCAATACCATTAAAATCCACTATTTCTCTGATGGTTGTGCTGGTCAGTACAAAAATTGCAAACATTTTTTAAATTTATGTCATCATGTTGAAGATTTTGGGATGCAATGTGAATGGAATTTCTTTGCAACATCACATGGAAAGTCACCATGTGATGGCATTGGTGGAACAGTTAAAAGACTTGTTTCAAATGCTAGTCTTCAATGTCCAATTGCTTACAAATTCAGAGTGCTGAAGAAATGTTTAATTTTTCAAAAGATAACATATTTGGCATCCACTTCTTTTTTTTAAAAGGCGAAAATATTTTATCAGTCCGTAAATCTCTGACTCTTCGATTGAATAATGCAAAGACTTTACCTGGTACAAGAAGTTTCCACCAATTTATTCCACAGGATGCAACAAGCATAAATGTTAAAAGAGTCTCTGAACAGGAGGAGTTTAATCTAACATTCAACCTTACTGGCTCAATTCAATATCTTCAAGAAATCATTGTAGGAAAGTATTATATCTGCAAATATGATATGTTTAACTAGGTTGGTTTGGTATTTGAAGTTGATGAAAGAAATGAAGATGCCCTTGTAAAATTCATGCATCCTCATTTACCTAACACTTCATTACACTGGCCAAATAGAGATGATTGTTGCTGGGTTCCAAAGCCCCATATTTTAATTATGATAAAAAAACCATCATCTTCAAGATCAGGGCGCATATACCAGATAGACACAGATGATTTGCATAAAATCCAATTTTTAAATTAACTCAATCATATTACACCAGTTTTCTTATATAAGCAATTTATGAATTATTCAGATGCAAGTTCTGGTTTTTTATTGACTAATTTTTTATTTAAAGCTTGTATTTGTTTGATTATTTTGACTTAATATATTACATCTATTATGAATTTTTCTTTTTAACGTTTGTTAATGGTTTTTTTTTCTTATAATAAAAGTTTTTAAAATAAGAAATTTCTTAATAAGTAACATCCAAATGTACTTTTTCATTATAATTCATTTAATTATTTTTAAAAATCCTCAAAAAACCCACCTCTCAATTTTGTACCAAATCGCTCTTTAATATATCTAATTTAATAAAAACAAAAAAAAAAAATTTTAAAATTAATGCTACCATGGTTACCAGACCTCTTTTCCGCTTTTGTTAAAATTTCAAAAATAGCTATAGGTGAAGTACAATCCTAATATTAATAAACTTCAAATTATTTTTATTAAAAACAAATATTATATTCCGATTCCTCGTCCTAAAAACTATAAAGGTGCTAATTTTCAGCTTAATTACATGTTTAGTTAAACAGTAACTTGTAACACAAAAACTATAGTAAAATCAAAATGGCCGCTGAACAAAAAAAACTGCAAAAAATAGCTGATTTTAAAGTAACGATATCTCCAAAACTCCTTTCATATTAGTGCTAAAATTTTGCAAGTTAGTCTATGTTATATAGGTGACTATTTTTACAAAGTATAAAGGAAATCTGAGATGGTGGGT